ATTTCTAGGCCTCACATCATACCTCAATGTAACACTATATGCTGGTATTTCACAGCGAGTATTAACAAAGAACTGCGGAATTAGTTTCACGTTCCAGTATTGAAAGCTCCCAACATCACTGGACTTATTCAGTGATTGAGTGAGTGACGTAAGGTTTTACGCCGCATTTAGCAATATTCCAGCAATATCACGGCGGGGACACCAGAAATGGGTTTCACACATTGTGCCCATTATTCAGTGACAATGTGTGAAGAGATGATGAAGACATTGCGAGACGCTTACTCGATACCCCAGCAACCGCCGATGCATCTTTCAACACAATGTCGCAAATTACGTCAGTATGGTGGTATTGAATTAACGTTTTATTATGTTTGAATCTGATAAGAAATCACAGGTATTGCATAACAAAATTACATTAAAAAGTGAGTGAGTGAGTTTTTTGTTTTACGTCGCTTTTAGCAATATTCCAGCAATATCATGGCGAGGGACACCAAAATGGGCTTCAAACATTGTACCAATGTGGGGAATCGAACCGGGTCTTCTGCGTGACGATCGAAACTTACCACATTAAAAAGGGATTTTGTTAACAAATTATTTGCTTTTGTTATAAACATTCCTCGGGTATTGTTATTGTTGGAATAAAACATGTTCGTTGTCACTTGCTTCTTCTTCGCAGGCACATTCTGAGGGATGTTCTACTTAAATATGACGTCTCTGCTCTTGGTGGATATGCTTACAAAACAGTGAGTTATGATTGATGTATATGCGTGGAGTCACAGAACAATTACACTCTGTTTAAATATATCATACATTTTGTGTTACATTATAAGTTATTGTGTGCTTCTCTCGAGGGTAATACAGTCCTGATGTACTCCTCCTTGTAGGAGTGTTACCCGAGCCGGCAGGCGTACATCAGGCCATATTACCCGAGGGAGAAGCATACAATATTACATCTTACCGCCATGTTAAATGTACAAAATATCATTTTATTTTAATTGGAAGATCGCTACCGAATATGTGACATGTAAACAAAATGGCGTCTGCCTCTCGATTGGATTTTTAAAATCAGTGAAACATATTTTGACAAGCTTAAAACTGCTCAGAAATTGTTGAATTATGTTTTAAGTTGAGTGTGCAAACGATTCAATGTATAAAATAGTTTAATTAAAAGCAGTGTAACCCGGTGAAATAGATGTCTACATAGTGAACTCAAAACAGCTAATCGAACGGTTTTCGAACTCCGCCGGGCACTGCATCCGTCATATTATGACGTCATACGATTGTTGGCGATACAGCTTCTCGGCGGAGAGTTTGGCAGTTACCGTGGCGGCGGGTAATATTCTTTCAGTTGTCACCCTCCTGGGAGGGTGACACGGAAACTTGTTAAAGCGTCATTGACCAATGAAATTAAAGTATTTTACATGAAGGTAAGATAATGCAATTATCACGTATGCATAAGGTGGCAAACAGTTCTGTAAATAACATGTGGTCATATTACAAACCAATGTAACAAATGCAAAGCTATAAGAGAAAACACCATCAACCACCGCACATCACACGTTTGGTTGTGTGTTCACATTCCATTTTCCTATCCTTGATTTATAAACAAAATGTTCATGACAATAAATATTTAACAGTTAACATTGTTATTTGAGGTAATATATTTGATATTATAAGAATAAGGGATAATGACATCACAGCGTTGAAAATGATAGGTTCACTGTGAACCATGACGTCAGTTGACGGTGCGAAATGTCAGCGTGTAAAGTTTGCGCACAGATATGTCTAAAATATGTTTGGGCACAGATTTGTCTGATAAATGTTTGGGCACAGATATGTCTTATAGATGGTTCAGGACAACACATGTATTTCATATACGGTATTTGTTAACCATGAGCATACATTTTACATTGTTGTCTATGATTGTTTCAGATACATCTGTTCCTTGCTCGAGTTTCTGGTCAGCCCATTGGAATTAGTGTGCTTGGCACCTTCACTATAGACAGGAGCTCCACACTGACGGTGAGAATACTTACAGTCTGTGAAGTTCTAATTCTATTTCTTGCTTAGAAACATGCAAATCTGCTTAATATAATAATGAAATTTCATATACAATTTCAGGTTTACAGGGACCAATCCTCTCGTATGCTGTGTTGGTCCTTCAGCTTGCGCCTACTTCGTCAGACAAAACCATACCCTGCTACAATGTAACTAGAGACCAGTGTAAGATTTGATTGATAAACCATTTGCAATAAGAATTCAACGACAGAACGTCAGTTTTCAACGCTTATTATTGGGAGAAATATGCTGTGCTTGTGCTTCTTCAGCAAAACAAAACAAATAGTCGTTTTAAACTGTCTGTCATAGTGTGAAACTGACACAAATTAGACGCAATTTTTAAACAAACTTCTTTCATAACACTTTACCAATAATGTTTCGATTTAGATCCATATACTCTTGTTCAGACAAAACAGGAATTACAAAATAGATTTAGATTTTTGCATCAGTTGTCAAAATGACAATGAATGACCAGTGTAGTTCCGTTTAAGAATATCGTCCGGATTCGTGGTGGTGCATCAGCAGGGAAATCATGCCCACCTACCTAAGGAAGATTTTGAGGGTTGTCCATCTTGTGATGTGGAGATGGAGTTTCATCCTGATCCAGAGGACCAAAGGAATTGTGGACATGCAGCTGCTGACGCTGCTTTTAGTCTGGATAGTTTTATGAGTTTCGGTGTTTGTGCACGAGTTTCTGTCCCTGGTTCTGTTTTAGTCTGTCTGCAATAGATAAAGCATTTTAAGTTTGGATTTGAAGAAGTTACAGCTATTTTTTCATCTAGTTTCAACTAGAAACTGACTTACAAAACCAAAGGTTAGTTTACGTCGCTTTACGAGCAACATTTCAGCAATATTACGGCGGGGGCACCGAATTATTCTCATGTTGGGAATCGAACAGGTTTCAGCATGACAAGGCGAACGGTTAAACCACAAAGGCTGCCCGGCAGCCCCTCATGTCGGGAATCGGAGAGAGTTTCACGACAAACTTGCTGACTTTCGGCTTTCCTTATTCATATCTCTTAGAAAGAGATGCTTTGTTTATGCGCGATTTCCAGAATTTGGAAATCCTTTTGCCCACATAAGTGAAAACGATTTGTAAGGAGGAGCCGGTTTTGGATTCCACTCAGGGGTTTCCTGCACACTAGACATTCTACTAAAGATCAATTGCTTACGTGAAAACTTCCACTTCCACCCTATTACTATTCATGCACCAAGTCTTGACCCTCCGAAGACATGTCCATGGTACCCTTGGATTATTAAAGGCAGAAGATGATAACGAAACCTAGGTAACTACCTGGGAATGTATATTATTACCCATCTGAAACCATAAACTTTGCTTCGAAACCAGACGTGTTTTCCTATGTACGCATCCAAGTCAGGAAAGAAGTCCGTCCCTGAAATCTGACCGCTGGACCAATCCATATGGCCTCTATCTCACACATGCGTTGAATGCTAGATTTATTTTTACATGGGTTCTTACCTTTGATGTCTTACAAAATCGAATTTTACGCAACTGTCGCAAGCCGATGCTTATGTTCTGTTAGCGTAGGTGAAGTCATGGCTGCATGCAAATATCACCATGGACGATTAAACCAGACCGGTGAAAGGACACTAAATGTGTTTTAGTATTGTTTTGATTAAAGAATACATGTATTCGAAACGCAATTCGCCGACCTCATGCATGCATATGGGTATATTGTGGAAGTTTGACTTGACTGCTTCGATGATAGCTGTAGATGGACTTTGGCGTCTTGGCAGGGTGCGTCTATTCAATACTGAAACAACACAAAACAACTTTCCATAGCATTAATACCAACCGATCAAAGCGCCATGTGTCGTGTAGAAAGTAAACATGCCAATATACACTGGTAATTACACACTTTAGCTTGGTCTACTGAATTTCATTACACTAAAATGGACCATTAATGGCCCATAGAGATCAATATCGGATCGGCTTTCCTTGCTTATTCTGTATTGACTGGTGATGTTCATTTATGAAGCATAAAGGATGGTCATAGTAAGGCGGATCAGCTCCTGACAATACCGTATAAACAGTGCAAAGAGTGCACCATACAGATTAAGGCTTACATCACTACGGGACGATGTGATGCCAGCACTGCTATGCCTCTGAACAGAATACTTACGTAAACAGTGAAAGGAAGGATGGTGGTAATTCCATGGACATGAAGTCATTTAGTTACATTTGAGGATTTTTGCGAAGAACTTTGCTGGAATGTGCTGCATGACCCCCTTGGTCGTCACACTGTTCTCAAGTGGAAGTCTGGGAGAATGCTCTTGAACGTGATGTCCAGCTTGGACATATTCATATATGTGACAGCGTACGGTGTCTGGGCTGTAAAGTGCCGTTGCTGGTAACACCAACCGACGGTTTTTAATCAGAGGGATTTATTGGCCTTTGTTTTTCATTCAATATATTTGGCTGTTTGTATTTGGTCTTGTAATCAGCTTTCTTCTGCCAAAACGCTACCAGATACTTCAGAGCTCTGCTCAGTCGGCTCAGATGAAGGTCGTCCCTACGACTGCTATCGATGCCGTTAATTCTCGCTGTTTACTAATCGGAACATCCATTGTGACGCTCGTAGAAATATGTATCTGCCTCTCACAGATACGACACCAGCTTTCCAGTGATTCCATCAGATTGTACCCATTTGAAATTGGCACACTAGAGGGTCGGCTTCTGGCAGTCATCCTACACCTCCATCGCCATAATGCCAGCCAATATGGGCTTGGTCTTCATATCAGCTTTGATGGATTTAAAAGGTATAATGTGTCATTCTTGGGAGAGAGTTCTCAAAAGGATAACTTATCATGTCTGTATTGATCGTTGACGACAAATCTGATCAGGAGTTAGATAATGACTTGAAGTCAGAAAAAGCTTGAGGGATTACGTCAACACTACGAGGAGAGTGTGTGATGTGGTGTCACAGGCTGATGAAGTCATCAGTACACAGCTCATCGGCTTCTTCTTCGGGATTCTGGTGTTTCTGCTTCACGCTGTACTGTATCAGCATAGGTGATGTTGATCCAAACTGAAAGTGGCACGATTCTGGTATTGATGACAATTAGTGTGTCTGAATTATCACCTACACTATAACCGGATCCTATCTGAGTGACAAGGTAAAAACACCCAACAATCTAAGCCAGTCTATAATTGTTCAATTAATTCAATAATTGATTATTGTAGGAATTAGTTAGCTGCTCGGATTAGCCTACCTTACTAGCAACCAAAATGAGGTTATTTCTCCACCTGTTCGTGAATGTATTCTCTGAAACTACCGAGCTCATAAAGATGAAATCCTTTTCAATGAACGACATTTTTATCAAGTGGTTCCAAACCAGAATTCTGATTTAACATTACTAAACAAATTCACATTTTTGAATCTCTGGTTGAAAGCTTGACCCTCCTTTCTCATAGTTTACATTTTGACTTTGTTTTATAGTTTAGTTTACAAAGCTCTGATATTTCTAGAATAATAACTTGACATTTTGATGTTTGATTCCCCTTAAGGTTTTCACAAAATATGGTCTGATCGGGTGCTCCCCAGTATTTCTACGAGAAAACATTTGGTATCTATGTTGTATTCATCATCTACGCATACGTCCGTGTAACGAGAGGACGTGTTTTACATCGCTCTCCAAAATGGGGATCTCATTAACTCAATATCGGGCCAAAATCGGTCGTTTTACACAGCCTAATGTAAGTCAAAAGAAGACCTACATTCTCGCTTACAATCGGAGGGAAAGGTATGAAAATGTGCATCAGACTTTTAATCATGTTGAGCTGTCTGCTGATTGTGAGTGGGGACGTCGAGTCCAACCGGGACCTGGTCCAGAGCCACGAGACAACAAACTACACTATCAGTGAGTGAAAGCGGCTCAATCGAAGTGCAAACGAGCGAAAATGAAAAGTATGAAAATGTTAAGAGACCTAAAAACGAGTATGGCAACCATGAATGAGAGAGTTTGAATGTCTGTGAATGACAAGGTAGGCAATATGGCGGCCAAAGTGAATGAGGGTCAATTATCAACTACATGCGTTGAGCGAGGAAAATCAACAACTTCGGGACTCAGTTATTCAGCTGAAAGACAAAATAGAGGCACGGAATGCAGCGGAACGCCGAAATAATCTCGTGTTTTTCATGGGATTCGGGATCTAAAGGTGAAACTTTGGGATGAATCGGAAAGAAAAAGTACGTACGTTTTTGGTGAGAAGCTACAACATGGATAACAACAAAGATGTGGTAATCGCCTGTGCACACAGACTAAACCTGAGTAGAAATGATTCTCCTATTGTATGCAAACTTCCCTTAGCACGACCGAGGACAAGAGCGAGTATCTTCCAAACAAGCCCGGGAATCACTGGAACGAGGAGCAGCAATGCAATGGCTTTGCA